ACGTTACAGGGTGGTTAAAAGTGCCACTAATACCTTCGAGAAAAGGATGTGCTCGACTTGCAGATTAGAAAAGTACAATACTTATAGTTTCGCACCAAGACCAAGACCGATGCAACTTATTAGACTACAAGACCAAGAACAAGAGATTATTGGTTTTGTATTTGCTGATCACTATCATTTACCTTTGATGACTGGAGTTCGTGGGAATAAATCCGTCAAAAACATACTACCTCCCTGTGGGGAATCTAGGTTAATGCAACATATGTTATTTCTAGAAACTCAGAAACATGGAATATTGATAAATGTAGTGCCATTTTGGTGGCGCTTTAACTCTTAAAGAGATAAATGGTATGTTAAGAGTATTTGGATCTCTCTCTCTTTCTATTCTAGCTAGTCGTGATCTGGTCTATCATCGAGTCGGAGAGCGGCCACGTGGTCTACGTCCCTCCATTTTGCCTTCAATTATGAGTCTTTCCATATTGTCCGGACTTTTCCTCATTATATGTCCAAAATATTTTTGTTGTTTTAGTCGGATTTTACAGGAAAGCCTGTTGGTAATATTAAGTTCATTTATAATGGAAGCGTTTGTACGGCACGGCGTTCAGTCCATGGAATACGGAGCATACGTCTATAACAATACATCTCGGTAGCATCGATCTTCTTACGTTCCGCCTGCCTGAGAGTCCACGATTCGCAGCCATAACGTCAATATTGGGAGTACCAAACAGTTGACTAGCCGGTTTAATGGCTTTTGAAATCTGGCGGTCTTTCCAGATCTTGGTCAGTCTTCTACTAGCTACCTTTGCCATGTTGCACCTACGCTTCACCTCTTCTTCCGATGTGCCTGTATTTGTGAATAGTGATCCCAGGTATAGGTATGACTTAACGACTTCAAAGCAGTCGATCCTAATTTTGGTTTTATGTGTATTTAGACCGCGCCAATTGCTTTCATTTTCTACCCTATTTACTAAATTGATGTACTCTTCTTGACTGCTAGCAAGTAGTGCTGTATCATCTGCAAAGCGTATATTATTTATTTTTTGGCCATTTATTGAAGTGTCTACTTCCCATGTTTCTAGCGATCTTCTCATGCGATGTGTTCTCCATATAAATATGTTAAATAGTTGAAGAGACAATATACACCCCTGTCTGACCCTGTCAAGGGAAAACTCCTTTGAAGCTGAATCCAGCATTCTAAGTGATCCTGTAGTGTGCTGATACAACTGGATGGTAAGTGTAATAAGGTGTTGCGGTACCCCCACTTCCTTTAAGATTTTCCACAGATGATGCCATCTGGCTTTATCGAACGCTTTTTTATAGTCGACAACCAATAAAAAAAGGAAAAAAATTCAAACCAATATAAAGAGGGATGTTGAATTCCCTTGCTTTCTCTATGATTTGGCGTATATTCAGAAGATGTTCCCGAGTGCCTCTACCCTTGGTGAAACCTGCTTGTTCTGCTGGAATTTCTCTTTCTAGAAAAGCTTTCAATCTTTCATTTATAATTTGCAACATTACTTTACTGGCATGTGAGATGAGGGAAATTGTCCGATAGTTGCTGCACTTATGTATTCTTGTGGAGAATGACAATGGTAGAGTGTGTCCAATCGTCGGACCATTCTCCTGTGTGCCATATTTTATTACAGATCAGATGAAGCATTTTTAATCCAGGTTCTTTAATAGCTTTTATTATTTCTGCTGTTATGAGGTCTAAACCTGGTGCTTTATGGTATTTTAATTTGTTTATGGCCAATTCAACTTCACTTGTAAGGATTTCCGGTTCTTTCTCTGAATTTTCGTGGTGGTCGACATAGTTATATTTTAGTATTGTTATATATTTTAGGTAGTGTATAATTTTCACTGTCCTTGTATAATTCTTCGCAATATGATCTCCACACCTCAATAATGTCTTCTTTTTTTGTTCTTAGAGTTCCATTTTAATCTTCGTTTGCTGAAGTTCTGGCTTTAAAGTCCCTGGTAATATATTTTATTTTTTTGAAGAGGTCTCTTGATATGTTATTTAGACTGCGTCCCTCGATTTCTTTGCATATATCAGAGTAAAATTGTTGTTTGTCTCTTTTTGCTCCTTGTTTATTGTCTTATTCTGGTATTTTTGGAATATTTGGTTAGGTATTATTTGATTTGGATCTATTTAGTGGCAAAAACATTCCTTTAACTTTCTTCCTGAAACACTCTATAAGCAAAGATAAATAAAAACACACATCCCTATGTACACCCTCTCTCTCCACCCTGTTAAACTTGCGATCCTGCGCCCTGCGTCAGCGTTTAAATAATCCAATTCCGCCGGAGCAACAGCCAGTGCGGCTCGAAGACACGCTCAATCAACAAGTCTTCCTGCCGAGGCGCGGCGGGCGGCAGGTGGTTGGCTGGCGATCGGCAGGACTCGCGTCCTTTCCAAACATGTCCATCGCGGTCAAACTCAAACAGTTCCAGGTGGCCAGGACCAAGGGCGAGAAACTGGCCAAAATCGAGTTCAGGGGTGAGTCTAGAGTTTAAATAAAAATTCGTACGTTGAGTGAAATAAATTATTTGACCTATTTTTCTGCAATGTTTATATTTTTTGTTTATTGGCTTTTTTTTGTTTTGTTGAAATTATTTGTTGACGTTATGTTTGTTTTTAATTTTTATACAAAATATTAAATACATATTATATACATTCGTTTTTATATTTTTTGTATTAGTAAGAAACTTTTAGTTCGTTAATTAGAATATTAAATTATTTTTAGTTTCTTTTCCTATATTTACAGGGTAATACAAATTCGACCATCACCATTGCGTTCTAAAAAACTATACGAGATTCGAGGACGATTAAATTAAATGGCATTAATTATTAGGCACATTAATGCACAACTTTGCTCTAAATTAATCATCGTCGTATTTCCTATATTTTTCGAGATACCAATGGTGGGGGTTGAATTTGAATTACCCTGTATAGCTGTTTATTAATGTTGATTTAATTGGTTTTCAAATTATATTTGATAACGATAGTTTAATAATATAATACCACTCACCAGCACGAAAAACCAAACCAAACTATACATTAAAATATATTCATGTATTTTAAAATTTCATAATATTGTGTTCTAGTCTCGGTTCTAGTGGACCGATTTTGATGATTTTTTAAGAAATTTGTAGTTAAATTATTTGGCTTTTTAATGACGCTTTCTAAATTAAAAATTAAAGTTTTCATCTGTTAATTATACGAGGGAAGACAAAATGTTGATATTTTGGTGAAAGTTTGAAACATCCTGTGGAGTACGTTAACAAATCAAGGAATTTAAAAATAATTTTATCATCTAGGTATATCTTTTCTCGATAGTTTGTTTTTTGATTTATCTCAATAGCTTTTTTTTAAATATTCGCTTTTGAAGAAGACACTAACATTTTTTCGTATTTTTTACATTAAAACCATGCCTTTGCTTTTGGTCCTAGTCAACAGACCTATAAAATAGTGTTTATGATTTATGTAATGTCACTGTCCCTGAAAAATCATATTATTATTGTCTGTTGGGTAGTCACTCTAGTAGATATGATTTTAATTCCAAAAGTTGATCTTTACAATGAAGAATTAAAGCAGCAATAGCCATTGTATCATGCCATAGCCGATACTTCAGAACTTAAAACCATCTCTACTAGGAGCCGGAGAGCTGGCGAAATATTTAGAGAACATATTTTAGGCAAGTTAGAATAACAAAAAAAAAATAAACTTTAATAACTTGTGAACCTAGAATCATAAGTCTGGCTGGAGGGTTGGGGGTATTTCGCTACTGCGCAACCCATAACATTTGCAAAAAAATAAATCCAAAATACATTCTTTAGGCAACTTGAAATTTGTTTATTCTTAAATTTTAACATCTATTTAACCTAGAAATAAGTATGCTAGCCTTTTTTCTCGGGTTTAAAGTGTAACCCGACCATTCCAAATATGTTTAATTATTATACCTGGAAAACATAGTTTAGGCATTCTAAAATTTTTACAGCGTGTTTATTAGATAATATTAAAAAATATGTGTTAATTGCCAGACGAATTCAATGGGATTTAATACTTGCCAGACGCGAATAAAGATTTTAAATGAGCGCGACAAAAAAGTCTTATGAGTATCTATAAGCGCGAGAAAGATAGTTTATTGAGACCCGTCGGCAGCCAATGATGAGCCGATGGGGCTGACGTAACAGTATTTTGGAGTGAGTACTTCAAATTTTCATAAAAACAATTTTTTTCGGTTTCATTTCAATTATTTGCAGGCTTTTAATTCAGAGATTATTTTGTTGGAATTAAGTTACCATCTACAAATATGTATTTATAAATTAAATATTGACGTGCATAGTGTAAATAGTTTAGAATAATTACTGTAAATAAATATTTTAGTAACTACTAATTTTGCTACTAACTACTAAATCACAATGGATAAAAAGCATTTAAATTGTGTAGTTTGTAAAAAAGTTACTAGTGACAAAGTTATTGTTTCGAAGGCAGACTACAAAAATGCAAAGAATTTTTAAAAGTGCGCCAACAACATGGTTTAAAATTTAAAGAAGTGGTTTTGCTAGAAAACGTAGTCCCGACAAAAGGGTACCAAGTACAGTGCTAAAAAAATAAGTATTCTGGAATTTTATTAAAGTACCATTGTTAATCTTTCTAAATAGATTCAAAAGTAAGTAAAAGTGCTTTACGTAAGTAAGTAAAAGTGACTTTTTTATATTGTCAATCAGGTCGCAAAAATTAATAATAATATAATATGTCACAAAAGTATAATAATAATTATACTTTTGTGACGTTTGAAAAAAAATATATTTAATATTATGCTAATTTTTAAATAATTATTCGTCTTTTTATTCTTTCAGATACAAAATACTTAAATTAAAAAGTCTTATTGAAAGGATTTCATATCATATGATATGGATATCATCATACATTTTTATTAAAAAATGTTTATTTTTATTTATTCAATATTAGTTTTTTTTTTTAATTTTTACGACTCCAAAATGCTGTTACGTCAGTTGCATCGGCTGCCGACGCACAGTGGTCTAAATGGAAAAATTACGGGGACACTCAATTTTGTTTTTGAAAAAAGGGAAATAATTGTTATTTATAATGTTTTTATGTAAAATTACACTCATCAAAAAGACTTTTTACATTTTTACCTACCTATTTTATATACAGGGTGTTCAATTAGTGCGACAAAGTCCGGTATCTCGTTTGCTATTAAGAATTTTAAAATAATGCTAATTCAAAAGTTATAAGTAATAATGAATTGCTTCTTGTTAAAATATTTTTAATTATACGGGGTGTGTCAGAAAAGTGCTACAGACCAAACTTCAGTTTTTTTAAATAAAACACCCTATATAATTTTTAAGATTTCAATTCCTGGTACTTTTTCCAGCATTTGAATGGTTTATACCATGTGTATCAAAAGTTACAGCCATTTTTATTTTTGACGCTCTATACCGTTTACAGTACCTAATATTATTTTGTTTTATTGCGTCAGGATATTAACAAGATGGTATTTTGTCATTTTATTTGTTGAATTTACAAGTGAATATTACAACTTAAAACAACGTTGAAAATGATATTGTATTGATGGGTATTTTAACTGAATGTATTTACTGGTCTACAAAATGTTATCTTTATCAAGGCTTTCTCTGAAGAAAATAGTCGCATCTCGTTGTTTAACCTTTCTAAATTTTTTATTTTTGCCAACTCTTCTGGACTAGAAATCGTAGCTTTTTTGATGGCAAAAGCAACATTTCTCTTTCCTTTTTTTGTATATCCAGTCTGTGTAGCAAACGCAAGTTCAGCAGGACATATTGAGAAACCAATTCTTGTGTACGTCTTCTCTTAATTCTAGTACTAACAACACTAAATTCTCTGGAGTTCTTTCGCGAAGGCGTTTTTGCATGTTGCTGAAAGGTGCTTTGGCGTCATCATCGTCACCAGTAGGGATGCGTTGTTTGACAAAGTCGGCCATCTTTTTTCTCACAACTAAAGAAGTGGCACTTCCCATCCAGCCATTTTCATTCAAAAGCTCAAATAAGTGTTTTCGAATCACGCCCGAAACTGTACATAATAGGAAAAAAATAAAAATTTCACAAAACTGCACCTATCAGCAGCTCAGTATATTGTTACACGATAGGCAGATATACTAGCTTTGAAATAAATTGAGTTTGACGGTGAAGAAAAGGGTCGTTTTTTTCTGAGCCTTCCATTCTTTAAACTTCAATAAAATTGTAAATACTTCTTTGATAACTAATTATATCAAAATTCGTGTTTCGAAATAAGTAACTAAACTTACCTAACAAATGAGCAGACATGTCTGAATTAAAAAACAAACCACGATATTCTGATCTCAACACAACTACCAAAACGAACTTCAGGATACTCGAGAACAAATTCTATATAAATGAACATTTATATTTTTGTTTACTTTGTCCTCAATTTTATCGCATTCCGATCCACCAAATACAAAACTCTGATATACAAGTAAGATGGGACTTTATTCTATTTATAAAATTATACATACTATCAGTCTTCAGTTAAGACAAACTTGTCACCTAATGTCCCCGTAATTTTTATGTTTAGACCACTGTGCGACGAGTCTCAATAAAATATCTTTCTCGCGTTTATAGATACTCATAAGACTTTCTTATCCCGCTCATTTAAAATATTTATTCGCGTCTGGCAAGTATTAAATCCCATTGAATTCGTCTGGCAATTAACACATATTTTTTAATATCATCTAATAAACACGCTGTAAAAATTTTAGAATGCTTAAAGTATGTTTTCCAAGTATAACAATTAAACATATTTGGAACGGTCGGGTTACACTTTAAACCCGAACAAAAAGTCTGGCATACTTATTTCTAGGTTAAATAGATGCTAAAATTTAAGAATAAACAAATTTCAAGTTGCCTAAAGAATGTTTTTTGGATTCATTTTTTTGCAAATGTTATGGGTTGCGCAGTAGCGAAATACCCCCAACCCCCCAGCCAGACTTAGGATTCTGGGTTCACCAGTTAATAAACTATATACATTTTTAGTTATTCTAGCTTGCCTAAAATATGTTCTCTAAATATGTCGTCAGCTCTTAGGCTATAGAGTGACCATCTCTACTAGAGAAACGCCAATAAACAATAATAATATGACTCTTCAATAACAGTGACATTACAAAAACAATAAACACTATTTTAGAAGTGTGTTGATGAGGACCCAAAATCAATGCTAAAATTGCTCTAAATCATTACTGTATGATTTCGCTAAAAAACGCTAAACATCGACATACAATTAGAACGACTACGCAATTAAAATAAATAGAAAAAAAAAACTCTACAAAGAGATATATAATCCAATTCCGCCGGTTTACAATCTGCATATACACACTTCCGTTTATTACGTCTCACGTTAAAATAAAATACTAGTTTATACATTCCATTAATCTTTTACTTATGCCAGTTAAGTAAGTTCAAGTATATTGTTCAGGT